CCGAAGCCACGCCCACTGCGTATGACCTCAGCCTAAGCGTAGTCTCAGTCTAAGCCTAAGCCTGAGCTCGCTTGCTGGCCCCTGCTGGTAACATCGAGCGATCTGAGGCTACGCTTAGATGGAGCTGAGGTTACACTTACGATTAGGCTGAGGCCATGTGTAGTAGGCGTGGCTTCAGTTGTTGAACGCGAGCGTGCTCACATGCGTGTCCTCCAAACTAAACAAGTGCCTAATAATGAACAACAATAATGTATAACAATAATACATTAACACTAATAGTAATTAATCTCGAAAGAATGTTAATTGCATTCGCAAACAACACTAATATCAAGTGGTGAGAAAGTTCGTGGGGCAGTTTCGCCAACAATGCATGGGCGGCGGCATTTCGCCAAATCACATCATGCCGCCTACGCAAATCCTGTGGCGAATCTATCCAACACACTTTCCCAAACGCTTCGGCAGTTACATAACAACAATAACAAAAGCAAAAACAATAATATTAAAAACAATGACAACAATAATAATAATAAAAGCAATAACAAACACACAAAAAACACCTTCAGAGTCTGCTGCACCTCACCCAAATCGCACGCGTACAACACCAAACCATTCAAATTCGCNATCCTGTTGATTATTATTTCCACCCGATCCGATGCTATTTCCAGCCGTTTCACCAGTTTCACGATATCCTCAATGCGCATCTCCACTAAAGGCTTCTCAATCTGACTCCATACCGTCGGATCCTAAATTCCATATTTTTGTTACTGTTTATAATCATTTAAGATTTTTGGCACATTGCCAAAAACTCAATTTATGTTGGCACAGTTCCAAAATCTCGATTTTTCATTTAAAAACCCTTTATCAACGTTATTTTGAACAGAAAAGAACCTTGAACAAGTATCGCGCAGGTCCGTTCAGATTCAACAACGGACCGCCACCTTGTTGCTCAAGCACCAACGCCTCATTGAGACTCGTCGGTCCTTCCAATTCCGCGCGTCGCTCTCAAATCATTATTATTATTATTATTTATTATTATCATTATTATTATTATTTATTATTATTATTATTATAACAGAACCCATAAAACCCTTCTAAATGGTTTCAACAGTTCAAAAAAAACCCAATCAAACCTCTGATCAACTTTCTCAGATAGGGATCGAGATTCGACGT